AGTAAGGCCAGGAGCCCCTAGTAGCTTCTTGTTCCTAGTAGTAAGGCCAGGAGCCCCTAGTAGCGTCCTTGCTCCTACGAATCTGATACTTGTTTGTTGCAATTGTTGTGAGAACTATTTTGTGAGGCGACAATTCTATAATGAATCCTGTTGAGATGTTTCAATCTTACTCAGCTAAACTGTTCAACCCAAACAATCCCAGGCTCTGTCCTGAGGCATGGTCCAGCTGATTTCACCACCCAAATCGCCCAGGTCGAGGTCCAAGTCAAAGATCGATAAATTCCCAGCCACCTGGACTGTCCAACATCGAAAAGCATTCAATAGTCATGATATGTCATGATGCCATCCTAATGACCTAATGCCACCAAGCAGGTGTCTCGGCACTAGCTTCAAGCCTCCACCACATCTGACAAGAGGACGGCCACAGGCGTTGTTTGCTCCGCTAGACCCGAAGCAGTGTAGACCTGTCAAGCTTGTGCTCTGGATTTCAGACCTGTCGTGCTTTGGATGTTCCAAGATTTGGGGAGGTGACCGGGTGGTTTGGGGCATGCTGCCTATTCTCGCAGAATCCTGTAGTACCCAACTTGGAGGCTATCTTGTGAGCTTCAGAAGTTTCTGGAGATATCCCGAATACTCGTCAGTGCAATCTACGAATGTGACCGTACGTGGGGCTACTTTGGCAGAACAGCATGATATGGAATGGCCTCTGAAACAATGCGTGTTGTGCAACCCCATGACAACATGCCACTGGCACCAGCAAATGAGTGAAGGAGTTCACAGCTGTGTCTGCTGGAAGCAAAGCAACAGGTGCTCCTGGCAATGCAGAAGTGACCTGGCTCAAGCACGAACTCATGCATGAACAAGAAGGACAGCTTATACTTTTCAGAATATGTCTCAAAAAACCAGCAATAAACACACCTATATATTATGTGCTTAAACGGAACAAAATTGAACATGTTTAACCGCGTACATGTACGCGTGCACTCGCTACGCGTGCACTCGCTTTGAGAAGTGCTGCTTTTTCCAAAGCTCGTCATGCTGGAAAAGACCATCACCTGTGTGAAACTAGCCGGTAGCCGGTCACCCTTGCGGACGGCCTGTGAAACCGTGAAACAAATTGCAAATTCTTGGTCGCAACTTGCAAGTTGCTTTGCTAAGCCTTTAATTTAAAAAGCAGTCTCCATTTCTGGTGCACTTGGCTGAGTCCGGCTATCAAGCGGATCCGGGAACATGTTGGCACCCCATGTCCCTGACCAACCAGCACTCATCCCTCCACCTTTGTTGTCTTCAATTGGCTCATTCATGACCGCCAGAGGCTTGTCTCTCCTCGACTCGGTGGTGAGGATGTTGTAGTACAACTTGACATTGTTCTCATCCGTGAATTCCACCCATGGACTTCTAGCCTTGGCCAGAATCTGGGCAGCTCCGGTTCCCATGGCCGGAGTTGCTTCGGGCAGCTGATGTGTCTGGGAATTGAAGGATCTCAAGATGATGGGAATGTGGTTCCTTCGGCCCCCGCGAACATGCCACTCCTGAAAGCAGTCTCTACAATAGAGGTCAGCACATTGCACGCAATGAAAGAGAGCTATGCTTTCTACACATTCTGCGCACATGCCCATTTCCACCCATGTTCGACGATGGTTTTGCCTTCGCCCTCTACTGTGAAGCCGGTCGAAGCAGCCTTGGCAGAAGAAGTCCTTGCACTGATCGCAGAAAAGCACCGCGTCGCGCTCATCACATTGGACACATATCTTCATCTTGGCAACTCGCTTCTCCTCTATGCTCATTGCCTGCTCATACTGGCTCACCAAATCACGGTACCGATGCATCAAGTTGCGGAAATCTTCCACATCTTTGACTTTCCTCTTTTCTTTCACGCAGTTTCCATAGTGTCTCAAGGCACGCTTGAGTACATGAACAAGATACGGCTCATTCTTGATATCCACGCCAAAAATGCGTGCCATTTCTATGACATTGTCAACGGTCTCCACCAAAGGGAACTCTCCAGAAGCCTCCGCTTCCCAGGTGAAAATGTTCGACAAAAGGAACTCTATTCTGAACTCCATGATGGACTTCCAGTGAGGCACAGGCTTCTGATTTCGAGCGACCTGGAGCATCTTTCGGAACTTGTCGTAATGCGGGTGCTTCCACGTTGCTTCACTGGTGCGTTCATCCACCCAGTAGACCATCCCGTCCTTGACATACTGAGAGAAGTATGCCGGCAAGGGCTCTTCCTTGAAAGCCGTGAAGATCCAAAGGATATTCTCATCTGTAGCAGGATCCACTCCCAGGTACCGCATGTGCTCCTGCAAATCTGGCTCGATGCCATCTGCACAGTACAAAATACCATCCACAATGGTCTTCTGATCAGTTCCCTGTTTGAGAGCCATCTGGACCTCATCTCTAGTGACTCCGAATGTCCTCCACGGTCCTTGATTGAAGAGTCTCATATCTCTGTCCTCCTTGCCCTCAATCACAGTGAGGAACTGATCCCAAATCTCTGCAATGTTGGCGTTCCACTCAAAAATTGTGAAGTCTTCCGGAGTGGGACTCTGTGGCAGGTAGACGATTTGAAACTCTGGACCAAAGGTTCCCTGGCGGGTCATGAAAACAATCTCATCTTCCTCCCACTTGATGATGACCTTGAAGCCCACAGGGATATCGTACTTGCCTTCTATTTTGTACTTCGACGGGTTGGGGCCCTGGTACTTGAGCCCGAAGGACATGACCAACAAAGGTCGATCATCTGCAATGATCAAATGACCTTCTTGTCGACGCCTGAAGTCTTGAAGCCCTTCGGTTTGATTGACAATGTTGGCCTGGTCGAAATAGCCCCCTGTAAAGATTTCAGGGGGGCCGCTCCTCGTACATGTCCATGGCTCCGATGGAATACTTTTTCAGGGAGCCTAAAGTCAGGCGGCTGAGCCGCTGGAAACTATTGGCATGCTTGAGCAGCAGTGCACAGGCAATGCATATGGATCGTTCATGCAGGAAGGAAACGCCTGTTTACACACATAGTTCAGATCACATGCAAGATTCAACATGCAATCCACAAAATGTTCGCTATTGCTCATTTCTGGAGAAACTCCTTGCCAGGCCCGCCGATGTCCGGCCATCACCTTCAGGAGATGTCGCAAGGTAGACGTTGTAGTGATGCCTCAGGTGCAGGCCGGCTGCTGCGATGCATGGCGCTCGACCAGTGCTGAGACATGCCGAGACAATACAAGAGCTATGCCTAGGGCCTAGGTGTGGACTATTAATAGCTTCCTGTTACTACTAGTAAGGCACCTGTTACTAGTAGCGTGGCACTTGTTCCTACTAAACTGGCCTCTTCCCCAAAGGTGAAAGAGTCGACACACGCATGCTGTCATGCTGTCTTCCAATTATGTTGCCAGGCCATCCAACATCCTCCGAAACAAAGGCGCGATATTGGAACAAAAGCTCCGCCGAGCAACACCAGGTCGATTTCAGCTGGCTCTGACCAGCTCAAGTTCCCACCAAACTGTCCAGCATCCAAGTCCTCCAGGCAAAGCTGCTGTTGAGAATGATGTATTGAATGAATGAGAATGATGATGAATGATGTATTCCGTAAAATTATGTATTATGTTGTCTTCAAGATTCTTCAGGCAAAGCTACACAGTTTACAGTGATCTTGGAACGAGTCTGGAACAATGCAAACAATCTGTTGCTGTCCAAGTCAATGAAGTTGAGGTCCGAAATGGAGGCATTCAGGTCTTGGATTGAGATGACCTTGGTGGTACCATAAGTAGTACCAGGCTGAGTCTATCAACTGTCTATATATATAATGTGGAAAAGGCACGGTGGGTGTTGTTTGTTCCTCCAACTCTGATGTAGTGTAGATCAAGATGTGCGTGAAGTTATCCTCAGATGACTGAGATGGGAACGGCATCAACCTATAGGTGCTTGTCCAAGACATCAGGAAGCAGTTACAGCTTCTTCTGCTCAATCGCTTTGTTCCTGCCAATTCTCCAGTGCGAAGTCAGCCGGGATGGAAACATTGTCTACATCATTTGTGACCTCAGCTTGAAAAGCGCAGACATTGCACGCAGCAATATAATATGCGCAACTCTAAGTCATCTGCATTCGCAAAAAGCCACCGAAGCCAGTATTCAATTGTTGTGGTTGTGGTTGTCCTGCAGATCTCAGCTTGTGGTCTGACCCTCACATACCAATCTTTCATGTTTCTTCTTTCACGTGATTTGCATGTTTTTTCTGCTTCGCGATTCACATAGTCGTTGATGTCGACAAATCCCAGTCGTTGTAGTCGAGCTCGTTGTTGTGCTCGTCATGCTGGAGGTGGTCGTGCTGGTATTTGTCGCTGTAGATGAAGTGCCTCGAAGAATCTCATCAAGGCACGTCATAGATTGCGTCACTTGACATGGTCATGACGGTCAACTTGTTGGTCATGTTAGATGAGGCAAACTACAGGTCTTCTTAAAAGACTTCAAGTTGTCAAGTTGTGATCCCTTTTGAAGGTACAAAGTCCAAGAAGCTGGTTCCAGTGGTGACAGTAGAGGAAGTGCTAGTCATCGTCGAGCTCGTGATGGTGGTAATCTGTGCGAGGCTTACCTTGCTGATTTCATGGTTTCACACCAGTTGTCCTATCTATAGTTTCCTATCTCAATCACCAACTGTTCATCAAGTGTCTAGCTTGATTTACGGCTAAAGATGTCTAGCAAATGTCTGGTAACCAGTATATAACTATATATAGACAGATATATAACTGATACCATCGATGAGCATGCTGATCTTCCCTTGACCAGTCCTGTCCAACAGTTGTGCTGAGTCACACTAGGCGATGCGAAGGATATAATGTTCAAGCCACCCTCTGCAGGAGCCACCCCTTGCGAGTCTAGCCTGGTCAATCCACCAGCTCACGTCTTTTGCATGCAGGTTATTTTGCGCTAAACGGCAAACTATTGAAACTATTGGGCAGTGCTAAGCAACTCTTCCGTCAAAATATCCTCGAAGCTTGTAAAGTTGCCTTGGAGAGCTGAGGCGATCCGGGAAAAGAATCGCAAAACATTATGTTGCTCTCTTTTATAGTCAGTTGCATCATGTTTCCTTATCTTTTCTGAGAGCTTAAGCTCAAATTGACACAACGTTGCAAAGTGAACGACAAAGAGCGTAAGTAGAGCGTGAGTTGCCCGACAGTTGTCTGATCAATCAATTCTGGCCGTCCCACTCTTGGCCAAGTGTCCACTTGTCGCATTCAAGACATCAACAGCTGATGAAGCCTGGCACAAGGACGTGCCCGTTTCACCAAGCCCTTTGCGGACGCCTGCGTTTCAGACAAAACGTCGGCTTGTGCCTTCAACGAATCGACCTCCACATCGATGGTGGCGTGCCAGAGTTGCGACAGCCGTCGTGCAGCGGCCAAACGCCGTGCAACCTGGAACAGAGAAAAAGAACACTACTAGGGGCTCCTGGCCTTACTACTAGGAGCAAACACGCTACTGG